TCTTTGGTCAAATCTTGGCACATCTGCAATGCAGATCTGCTTCAAATCTGCAGAATCCCTTTGCAGAATCTGCAAAGTTACTGCAAAGATTTTTCCAGATTTATGTTGCAGAAAAATCACCTGGGCAGTACAGCAGTCGTAACACGTAACGGATGAAAAAAGTGTACAATACCTGCATAAAGGTTCTTTAAGCGAAGAGCATCGTAAATATGACGCTTTTTTGTGCGAAATGCAATTTAACAAAAGTTTGAAAAACGATTGTGCATATTAAAGTGCGTTTATGTAATATAGCCAGCGGCGTAACGAGGATTTTTAGTCCAATGGGCATACTTCTATTGTATCGGAAAAAAACGATGGGGAAAATGGGCAAGGTTTTTGTCGATAGGCCAAAAAATTTTTGGTCCAAAAAGAACACAAAAAAATGAAATGAGATTCTTTTAATTTTTGAATTAGATTCTAATTTAAAAATAAACAAACAATTCTGTCTATAGGCACTCTTACATATATCTTTCTAAGGGTTATACAAAAAAAAACCGCATAGGTATATCTACTAAGTACAATTTCAATGGGCAAAAACTTACTAATAAAAATTAAAATGGGCAAATCCCTAAATGAAATGGGCAATTGCCCATTTGCTTCCCCCCCCTGGATACGCCGTTGAATGTAGCGTATATGTGTACATTACTACTGGTTAGCGCGTTCGGAATTCCAATAGCCAACTGCGCGGGCGACAATAGCCAATAGTTCAGGGGTATTAGCAAAAGAGGTATCACTATTGGCGAATGTCAATTAGCCAGTTGAATTGGCGAAACGTGAACTTTGCTGTGTTACATCTTTTGTTGATGGTTTGAAACTAGTCAGCCATACTACTTATAGAGATATACTTAGAAATATCAATCATGAGCAGAACCTAAACAGTTCTTTCAAGCATAACAGCATAACATACGATTTTCTACGATATTTCGTACGATTAGAATGAGTTTTTTCATTTACACATATGTCACTTCTGAGATGAGCTAAAAGCACAGACAATGAGCATATTTTTCCAAATTAAATTTAGAATTTTGTTATGATCTTAACACGATATGGGCGCACATAGTTTGATATTCTCTACAAACTACAGATTGTTTTTTCTAGCAATGGTTTTGAACCTTAATAACCCCCAGTTTCTACTGTTTTATCCAAAAAGCGAGAAGAAACACGGGAATTTTGGTTGAAAATCTTGTAGAGGACTAAAAATTGTTGATCAAGCATTGCTAATTAAAACTTTTCACACTCCTCTTTAGTTTGCAGTGATGCAATTAAATCAGGAAGGCTGTGTCTTCCTACAAAAAGAAGGATAATAATTAAGCAAGTGTCCAACATTTTTTCTTTATAATTATTTCTTCTTTTTTGCTGTTCGAAATATTTCTCGTTTTATACGTTCAACTCGCTCTCTTTCAGCTTGTAGTTTCATTTCGTTGGCTAATCGAACGGCATGTGAAAATTTTGCATTGGCATTACGTTTATTTTTTGTAATCAAGAATTTTAACGCTAAACATGTTAAATATCTTGGTTTTAGTAATTTAAAATATTTAATAATATCGGCCATGCGACTAATTAGCAAACGTTCGTGTATCTCTTGTGGTATTACTGACTTTGTTCGACTATCTACCAAATATTTTGTACATTCATATATTTCATAGAATGCCAATTTTAACATGCCATTACAAACGCGAAATGTCCATTCTTTTAAAGATAAACCAAACTTAACTGCTCGTTGATAATGATTATTTGCTCGTTGTAAATTGCCTATCAAACATAACAAGTAACACATCAAATATATATCTTAACAAAAAACAACAACTATATATTTACCTATTCTTGTATAACAATCACATAATGTAGCTTCCGTATAGAAAACAACGGTTATGAACTTGTTTATTTCGGATTGTGTCGATGTTTTTTTTTCTAAATGCTCTAAAATATAATCGATAGCTGTAACAACTTCTGTTAATATTTGTTCATCATAAAAAACATCTAGTTCAACAAGAGCTTCTAGTGTAATAACAAATGACCATAGTTTCGACTCATATTGTAATGGACGATTTGATTCATTATCAACTACATCGAATAGATCATGAATGATTTCTTCGCGACGCCATATTAATGCAGCCTAAAGATTAAATTCAGTGATAGAATATCGAGACCTTATCCTGCACGTCTCTTTTCATGCTTAAGAAGCTTTTTTCCTGAAGGAGATTTCGGTACTTTTACTGCTCTCTTTAGTTAACTCATTAAAACGGCTTTCATTCACTGTTTAATACAGTTGTAAAAGCCGATAGGAATGTAAAGCTCAATTACGATATATAGTTTTAAAAGTACAACAAAACAGCACTGATCAAGCACACCGCAGAACTAGTCTAACAGAAGAACATGTTCTTTGTAGCAGTTATAAAGTTTGATCAAGTTTGATGCATGTAGCAATCGCAACTTATACATCAGGCTTCTATATGTGTTTTTCTACCTGTAGACTGTATGTAGCCACTGAAATCAATCTTTCAAATGCTCCAATTTTCGTTAATAAATCTTTGACTTTGTAACTATCATTTAGAGCTCGATCGATTTTCCCATGATATAAATTCCATATCATCGATAACCAATTTGCTTTAATGGCTATTGTTTCATGACCCGTTTGTATTGGCTCAATGCGTGACACAACTGCTTGTACAAATAAATCACAATCGTCCATTCGCTTTAAATCATGACTTATTTCAGCTAGCAACGATAGAGCGTGTACATGATCATAATAACCGGATGTTGTACCTTGTAGTAAACTCAAAGCAGCATTCAATACACAAAAATAAGAAAACAATAATTCACCATGTCGACGTGCACATTGTCCAGCACGAAGTAATAATTTACCACAAAAATGTCGCCGTATGATATCATCATCCGATAATTTTTTGTTAATGATATTTTTACGAATGAGTGTACGAATTAATTGATGACGCAAGTGTTTACATTGTAATTTTAATTTTGCCGAATCGCTTTGAAAAAGTAGACAAACAAAAATCGATAAAACAATTTGATCGATATACAATCATTTTAGGTCGTAGAATAGTTTTCTAAGCTGTGAAAATTAGTAGAAAATCTTTATTTGATTTCAACTAATCGGTCAGTAAATTGGAAACTTTCTGGCGATTTTCAACGTGACATATTCATGCGTAAAATGCGTTATAACCTGGCATCAAATTTGTCAGAAAAGTATAAAGAGTCACCATAAGATTTAGTGGCTGAGTTTGCATAGAAACGTTTTTTGTCATCCCGTGAGTTTATCATAAACGGAAAGTTTAGTAGATTTTTTCATTAAAACCTGGACTTTCCAAATATAAGGTAAGAGATAAATTTTAGAGCAGGATTATCCAAACCATCCATTGTTATCAATTTCTTTAATTCACACTCTCATTCATCATTCGTGATTCTTAGAAATAGAAAACTGTTCATCTTTGAAAACTATGTTCAATAATGTTCTATTGAATTAAAATATGATGTTTAACTTTTTAATGAATAGTTGCACAATTTTGGACCCGGTGATAATAAAGCTGCGTTTACAGATTTCTTTGTCTGGATCTGAATCTTACCCTGATCTACCATTCATCCATCGGTCACTGATATGTATAACAGAGAGAGAGTTACCGAGCAGTTTCCAATTAAGTCAACTATAGTTATCGAAGAACTATATAGTTATCTTCAGATAAGAGAAGGAATAGTGTAAAATGAGGACAATTACAGTAGCTAGAAGAAATAGTGCTTCTCCTGGCTGTTTAATGTTTCAGCATTTTTCTACCAATAGAAGATCAGAATTTACCGTGAACGAAAATCCATTAATTGTATATTCAATATTTTCAATCCATACATAACATATAAAAATGCTTCATCATTCTTGTACATTCGATACACCGATTCGGATAATAAATCATAGATTTGTGGCTCAAAAAATGACGGTAACATTAAATTTTGTCCATCTTTCTTAAATCGTTCGATAATACGTTGTAAAATAATTTTCGTTTCATAGTAATTTGTTCGAACAAGTTCAACACGAGCTAGTTGTAATGAATAATACAGTACTTTTTCAATATGTCCAGCTAGAATAAGAATAAAAGATTTTATATTGTTCCCTAATTTATTGACGTCAAAAGCTACCTTGTTCCCATAGTTTAATTAATAGTCGATAAACTTCTGTTAGTAAAAAATTGCATCGACAATTTCGTTGATTATATTCAACATATTCAGTTGTTGACACTTTAGTATTAAATGCCGATGATATTCGTGATAGCTCTGGATTCTTATCACGATCAGAATGCGATGATATTAATTCAACATCTTCGATCGGATGGAATGTCATACGTAAATATAATTCCGGTACAAAATCTAAAAATTCAAATCTGTGATCGATACCTTCTTTCAGTAAAAATAGTGGACATGCATCAGTAAAATCCAAATAGATTCGTTGATTAATCGATGGTACTTCTTGCTCTAATAGAGTATTTCGGTAGGTCGGTGAATATTCTTCATCATTTGTCGAGTCTAATGCAGAGGGATGGTGCTGTTTACTATTTTCGTTACGTTTTGATAAGCGTAAATGTTTGCCCAAATGTTCTGCTTCTAAAAAGTGTTAAGGTAAATAGCCCAGATCAGTACACAAATTTTCATCCAATATCGCACCTGACATGATATCCGTGGTTAATAATCGTTTATGTTTTGTGCTAGTACTGTGTTTCATTTGCAGTTCGTTTGTTCGTTTAACAACTCGATGTTTTTTTTCTTTTCTTACGGGTTGCTGTTGTTCTTGTTGTTTAGCTGTATTGAGGTGAGCATGAAAGACTGTTTTCAATGATGTATGATTTTGTCCTAAATTACTATTATCTTTTATATTTTCATCATTTCGTTTGCTCAACGGTAGTACATCAATTAAATTTGTTAAGCTGGGTTTATTCATGGACCGATGTGGTATAATAAATGGTGTATGCTCATCGCTCTCCTTTTCCGTACCATACGTGATCAATGGTGATCGGGGCAACGCTTGAGGTGCACCTGTTACGATAAATAATATCTTCTTAAAGAAGACGAGTAACAGTGTGTAAAAACTTACCAATGCTAAACGATGTTGGTGTTTTGTTTGTAATCTTTTCAAAGTATGATAGACGGCTAGGACTAAACGTTAACTGTTCGTATTCTAAAAGGTCTTGTGGTGATGAGATTATTGATGATGTACGTGTACAATTACGAGGATTTTCATGAAGAAATGGTAGACGATTTAGTGGAGGATCTGATGGCCAATGAGAGAATTGTCCTGATGTTGTTGTACTATGTGATTTGAGGATTTGAGTGTCGGATGGATGGGCACTGTTGTTGACTAGACCCATCATACGCTCATTTCTTGGACAAGCGATTTCTATAAACATGTTACCAGTAGTACTAAAAAATGAAGTTCGAAATACATAAAACTTTCATAAGCCCAAATGGGAATAAAACCTGAAACTCATACGATTATGTGAAGTGGTTATTCACACTATAATAACTAACTGAACAATACACTCTATGAACCATTCATCCGAGAATACCATATTCCAAGCTAACTACTTCTAAGAGATGGTCTGCACGATATGTGAGAACCCTTGCAGTATATCTCAATACTGGTGTAGATGGGAGATTAATATCTAACTGCATTTTTGAATAATTTTTCACCCTCGACCAACCTTGAGCCAAATTTTCTCTATAACTTAGCACGTTACTTGAAACCTAAACATCCCATAAAAGAACTCACCCAGCGTGCGTGAGGGGACAGGTTAAAAAATGAAAACAAAACCATAATTTAGAGTTATTCTTTGAAAATATACCAGACTTTACATCAACTTTCTGCCAATCGTATGGCACTTTCAGAACTAGTAGAACTGATCGCGGTGATCACAAAAACCAACTTAAAAACTTTTCAAAATGATCGCATGGAGTCTTCGGGCGAAGCGCCAAAACACTTTTCACTAAAATTGTTTTTGCCATAAATTTGCCATTTAGAATTCCCAATCTCTTATCTCTCCATTAGTGAAAATCGCGGGACTTCAATTCGCGGGAATCACTCTTCTCAGAGATAAAGCATCAGCCAAAAACAAATGTTTCAGGATTGAAGTACTCACTATATACATCGACATTGGGTATGGGGACAGTCTGTAGAATTTGCAGTGGGCCAGTGGAAGGAAGCGGAAGTTGGTGAAAACTAAAAACTAGTGGTCCGTGTTTACTCTACTATTCAGTCTAGTAAACAGCTGAAGTCCCGTGATTTTCACTAATAGAGAGATAAGAGATTGGGAATTCTAAATCATACATTGGTGTTAAGTTTTCATTTTGTCTTCAGACAGATACCTGAATAGGAAAAACACCAAAAATCGTGTTTTTGTATAATTTTTCTTAAAAAAGCCAGAACATTTTCATCTTTTGAAATGGCAAATTTATGGCAAAAACAATTTTAGTGGAAAATGTTTCGGGGTCTCGCCCGGGGACTCCATGCGATCATTTTGAAAAGTTTTTAAGTTGATTTTTGTGATCACCGCGATCAGTTCTACTAGTTCTGAAAGTGCCATACGAATGGCAGAAAGTTGATGCAAAGTCTGGTACATTTCCAAAAGAACTACCCTTTATTGGTTCATGCTAGGACTTTATATGACTGATGTATAAATATTAGTACAACTTGAATTATTCTCGCACATGAAGAAAGGATAGAAGAACACGTTCCCAAGTCTGATATCAATTCCAGAGAGACTGATAACCATCATATCCGTTTGCCAGAGATATGCTGTGGTCGCCCAAGGAAACTTGGTCACATAAAGCTTCATCGTCTATCCGTAACTGAGAGGTAGATGGTAAGCAGTTTCACAAAAGATGAGTTGTTCTAACAGCCCACTGATAGAAGATATACTTTTCCAACTTACTTAATTGGGTGTTTTTCTCGCAACTGAACCAGTTGTTGTTGTTGAAGGTATTGTAATTGATCACGACTAATTGCAGTTGCCTCACTTGAATAATTTTGATGTTGATAATTCAAATTATCTCCATTTTGTGCATTAGTTTGATTCATTAATGTTGACGATTGACGACTACCCAATTCATGATCGTTATTGTCAATTGAATATAAATAATCAACATCCGCTGCGTTCAACGAACAGCCTTTATAACTGGAATCACCATGATCATTGTTATTACTCATGTACTTCGAACTATTCGCAAATGTTTTATGTGTTTTACCATTGTTATTGTTAAATTTTGGCTGTTGATTGTTTTTTTTCGACTTATGTATCGATTTCATCCACATCTTTTGCATTATTTCATCAAGATTATATTCTTCTTCTTTCGTATAATTATTATTAAAATTTTGCGAATGATTAAATAAATGATAACCAAAAGGAGATTGAATCGATGATGTTTCATTAAAATAATGCTGTCCATTAGAAGGACTTGATTTTGATAATAAACTTGTATCGAAAATTGTTGATAAAATATTGTTCTTAGACGACTGTTTTGTAATACACTTTTCATAAAGGGGGAAACTAGACGAAGAGCAGAAGACAATACCCAGTCACTCATAGGGATTCCGAAAACTTCAGAATTCCAAAATTTACGAAAAGTTTTACGCGTTTAGCGAATTTGTGACACAAACACGCAAGAAGCTGCGAGTGTGGGGAAAATAACACGCAGGAAGCGCACGTTGCCAGGAAAACAGAGGCTTTATTCGCATATTTCTGCCTGTTGTTTGTACCGATTTCGCCGTTTCTTGCGTGTTGATATGCTACATTCACTAAACACGTTACATTTTTCGTAAATTTTGGAATCCTGCAGTTTTCGGAATAACTATGACTGACCGGGTAGGCCATAGATGTAGCATTAAAAAAACAGTTTTCCTCGTCGTGTCGAGAAGAAAATGCCTAGTTTTCGAAAAAAGTCGCAACTAAAAGTTTAAAGCAGTAATCATGACTAGGGTCATACAGATCCTTCACGACTCTCATGCTGTTCCCAAGAAGTTGTGAAAAACTTATTTATCAAAATTTTAGAATTTCATGGGAAATGTGCATTTGGCAACGCTGATCATAAGTATCATTGTCAGAAATGTTGAAATTATTTTGTTGAGCTTTTTTGCTACATGATTTGTTTTGAGGATTGATTGAGATTCAACTACATGGTGATCTAAGGATATATCTTTTGATTTATAAAAGCAACTGCTCGACGTCAAAGTATACTTGTCTTTTTTTCATGATCAGATAGAATTAAAAAAACTGCACATTTCATCTGCTTTAGACGTTGATGGTAGTTGATGAAAGATATGTACCACTTAGAAACTGGTGTTAATGAAAATTGCTATAATTCGGTTATGACGAATTAGTAAAAATTGAGGAAAGTCTCATTTCGTAAAAAATGTTTGCTCAACAATACTCAGTTGTCAGAAAAAATTTAGACTGCTCAAGCAGTTTTTTTCTCGTGATTTATTCCGTTTTAAAATCGTCATATTTTTGTTGGAAATACGTTTAGACTTTTTGTGATAATGAATTACTAAGAGTTTCCTCAATTCTTAGTAAGTCTTTATAACCGAATTATATCAATTTTCCTGGATGCTTTAACACCAGTTTTCAACTAGTGTATACCTAGTTGGTGGTAAGTGGTAGTGAAGTTAAAAGTGGCTATAAAACCGTTTTCTGAAGACTGATATACTAGTGAATTAGATATATCCGAAAGAGATAGGAAGTGCGTAGGATTTTGTCCATGGTAGATCACACAATACCTGTTTGAGCTTGACAAACAACTTCTGTTATGTTCGAAAGATACATCCAGAGGATCACCAGGTAATTGAACCTCAATATAATCCTCGAATTATACCATATAGCAGAAAGGCTGAACAGAACAATTTAAGGTTTCTGACAATAATACGGTCTTAATTATGGTATACCGACACTTGGGAGCAACGATAGTTGAGAGTCAACGACGCCGGTGTGGGTGAGGGTGAGTATTGATGAAGATTAAACAAACAGTGGTTATAGTTGAATATAAGTAATATTAAAAAGTTTTCACACTATACCAAGTTTTTTTAAAAAAAATTTTATCGTTATGCATCATGCTTTAACAAATACACTCTTACTGAATGCTTTTATCGTACATGCACCCAAATGCCGTTGCACTCGAACGTTGCTGCGCCCAAATGTCCTTGCGCTCAAATGTCGCGCGTGCCCAAATGTCTGGTAATCCTTAATTATAACTACTACTTTAAATCTTCAATGATAGAAAACGTCTGAAAAAACTTACAAATCATCATTTTCTAACTTCGGTGACTTTGTATGTTTATCTTTGATCACTGATTTTTGTTGTTTTATGTTAGTCGCTATTTTTGATCGTTTTTTTCTAAATTTAAATCGTTTTTCAAACAATCTTCTCACAGTTTTCTTTAAACTATGGTCATGTCCTTTATTTTCTTGTGTTAAATACTTTCTTATTAACATTATATGCCAATTATTTTTCCTTTTATTACCAATACTTTCTTCCTCGTACTCATTAGATAACGATGAATTTGACGAATGCGAACTATGTCGATAATGGTTATTTCGAGATGTAGTAGAATATTGACAATATGGTGAATAACTCTGATTTTTCACATTTACATTAAACAAATGAGTAGTGGAATACTTTTTATGTGGTGATGATTCTATGGATGGTACATTACTAATCACTCTTGTATTTGAATTTTCTTGTACCATAATACGTGAAACATTGCATTGACTTGTTATCAATTTACCTATTTGTTGTTTTAACAGTGAATACTTTTTTATAGGTGGTTGTTCAATAAAATGTTTTTTTCTATTTGGAGTTTTAGAACCGCCTTGCGGTATTGTAAACTCCACGGGATGATGATAATGACGTTGTTCATCACTATGAGAAATAAGTTTTTGAAAAGTAAATCGATTTTCAGTGTCCGCATTTCTATCAACTGAAAAAGAAGAGAAAATTTCAGTGACACTACAATTGAATTCACGGTACGAAAACGATACACATTTTTGGAATAGCTCAAGAGCGATAACGGATAGAAAATTACCATTTGAGCTGTTTAAGAGAGAAGATCTGACCGTACTTTCTTTGACAGAGAAGAATATTAAAATCTTTTTAAAATTAGAGTTTTTAGAAGATAGGAACGTCAAAAATGATAAAAGCAGTACCTTGTACGTGCACCATATAGAAAAAAAGATGAAAACTCAATTTGCTTTGTTTGCATTACGTTTACGTTTCTATCCGACTTTTTGCCGATTTTCCAGAGATCTCCTGAAAATTCGAAGTTTGAAAAGGATCTAAAAAGTTTTTCTGTCTCAAAAAGATGCGGTCAGGTCTCCTCTCTCAAACAGTGAAAATCGCAATCCTCGATCTATCAGCATCCCCGAGTTATTCAAGAAGTTTATATTGTTCTCGTACTATGAAATGCTTAGTTTTTTAATTGTACCTTCAGTTATATCAGTTGTTGGTGTCAATGATAGTTTGGATTGATAATATTTATCGACTTGTTTAAATACTTCACGTTGGGTTCTAAAAAATGTTTCGTTTAGTTCTTTTTCAGTTTCGTCTATGTTATGATGATATTGATTTAAGAAATCTGTTGCTTTTCTCTGTTCTTGTTGTGGATTTTCCATTTGAATATGTTGTGTAATTTCTTCCTCAACCATTGTATCCTCACCAAAGCTATTCTTCTCAAAAGATTTGATAAATTTTGATTGTAATTTTTCATAATCTTCCATGTCTGATAAATCGTTAACTGAGGTTACTAACGCAATAGTGACAGGCTTAGATAAAAGAAAGCTCCCGTTAATAATTATACCTTCTGCTATTTTTGCGACTGATTTGATTTCTTGCGCTTGAAGTAATTCACTAACTGTATCAACGGGTGGATCATCATCGAAGATCGATGAATATTGAGATTGAAATGGCCGAAGAAAAGTTGATGATGGTAGTGGATTTGTATCTATGGTAGGACGAAAAGTTCTTTGACGATTATAAAATGTGTCGTAAATCATTTTTTGTAAACGGTTTTTCAGATCTTTTAATTGCCGTTCATGTAACGCATCCAAAATAGTCATACCTAAAATTTTGTGTATATTTCTTATATCCATCAATGGTGTCGAATAATTAATTTTTAATTACCTAATTTAACACCTTGAACAGGTGATAAGAATACAAGAAGATCGGGTCCACCACATGATTTACAAAAATGTGGTTTTGATTCAAGAAATCGTGCCATTTTCGTTGTATATTCATATATAAATGATTCAACTAATATTTTTAATGCTGCTTCTTTTAATGCCGCCTCTTTAAAGGTAAACATTAGACAATTTTCTATTTGTTTTGTGACATTTTCTGGACAACAACACACAGAATAAACACCTTTTTTCTCTGTTAATAGTGGATTTCTTTTTGCTTCATGTTCCATCCATGCACATTCAAATATTTGTGAACGATATAGATGAACAAACGCATAATTTATCTAGAATAATATTAGATACCTTGCACAATTTTCTAAGATAATTTGTAAAATATTTACTTTTGTTAATTCAATCTGTGTATTAATACTAATTTTTCCTATGTAATTACGATGTGCGATGTGTGAAAAATTTATATCTATACCAGTTAAAGCTTGAACAATAATTCGTTTTGATATTCTTGTACCAATCAGTGAAGATATTTTTGCTATTCGTTTTTCAAAATCAAATAATTTATCAATTTTAACTGTTGCATGAATATTTTCATATCCCAAATTTGATGACCATAATTTTTCTCGATCACTTATAAGAATTCGACAATATTGATCGGGTGCAAATTTGAGTGCAATATGTTTTCGTCCAATTGAATCTTCTTGTATTGTACGTTTCCATAAATATTCTTTAATTCCTTCAATATCTAAAAATTCTGAACAGATAGATATCAGAACTGGATAACTAGGAGGTTGAGCATCAAATATGAGTAAAATTTTCCCTTAAAAATGAAATAAGTAATAGGAATTTTTGTATTTTCTGCGAAAAAGAATGAACATAAGTCTTATACTCTTTTCTAGATAAAATGATTTTGTTTACGATTTTATACAAATAGATTTAGAAAGACATTTTTATCCTCTGTGCCTAATATACGTCAAAATCATTATCAATGGTAAATTTGCTATAAACTGTGAGCGATTTAAAAGTTTTTTCCACATCACTTATTTTGAATACTTCATTCAACTGTCTCTTACGTTCTGCTCAGTTATAAGATACGCTACTATTCACACACGTAAATCAGAGGTAATGAACAAATTTTAACAATGACGGGTTTGAACTTCTTTCATTATTCTCTTCTCTAGCTTACTCTGCTACCGAAGTAAAATTGTGCTACGTTTTAATTGCATTTTATTTCTCTTATAATTTTCGATCGGCGGGATACCCAAAGCTTAGAGACTTCTTAAATTCAAAAGAAAAGTATGCCGGTAAGATGAGTTCGCACTCTTCATAACGAAGAAAATTAGGTATTTGTACTTTAATCGTATTTTCTAAACGAAAATCGTGTCGAGTGCGAGTATATCTCAGAATCTTCAGCACACTTTCTTCCTTAAGTTAAAAGGTCTATAAGCTCTGACTATCTCGCCGACCGAAAATTATAAGATGCAAGAAAAACGTAAGGAACGTTTATGTCTTACTAGAGGTGATCAATGATTTTTCTTTCACCTTTTTTCTATCAGACACAAAACAGCAGGTGAAACATGGTGTGTAGACTTATCCTAGGACATTTTTTCTCACTGAGACTACAAATTCATATAATAACAGATGGCCCAGATTAAATGGTCGGTCTTTGCAAAGCTTTTTTCTCAGGTTAAGCTTGATCAGCAAACTTCGTTTCGATGCTAAAGGAGAACGAATTTTATGTAGATTTTGGTCATTTATTCCCTTTGAAATAAGTATTTGCTATTTTTCTACAGCATTAGAAATACTGAAAACTATAAAAAACTGAGTTGCTCAGAACTTTGCATAGAATAAAGTGTAATTTTTATAGGCAAACTAGTTTTGTTGCGCGATTCAAACAAGACATTAAAAAATAGAATCAAGTCTTAATATTTTAGGCACAAAACCAACGATATTTGGGACGATATTTAACGGTCGTAGAAATAGCTACAAAATATGCCTCTTTATTATAATCCTTTGACGCTTTTCATTCTATAAGAAAATATCGCAACTTCGTCATTTATTATCAAAGGCAGTCAATCCATGGGAAGAATACCATCTTCTAGATTTTGAAATTCTGCACCTGCTTATATTATAAACACTAATTTTTGTTCGTCAATGTTTACAAAAAGCCGCCAAAAATAAACATCATCCCGTTGGCTGAAAATGTTTTTTAATGTTTTGAATATTAGAAAGGAGGAACAAATAAGTGTATAGGAACGAACATATCATCAGCTACACCGAGAAATTCTGCATCTTTTATTACTAAAATCAAAGTTTTACACTTATCTAACTGAAAAAAATTGCTTTCAAAACTTTCTAATTCTTCAGCTGAGCAACTCAGTTTTTTATGGTTTTCAGTACTTTTAATGCTGTAGAAAAATGGCAAATACTTATTTCAAAAGGAATAAATGACTAAAATTTGAACAAAATTCGTTCTCTTTAGTATCAACACGAAGTTTTCTGATCAAGTTTAACCTGAGAAAAAAGCTTTGCAAAGACTGGCCATTTAATTTGGACGACTCGTTATTATTTAACAAGAAATTTTTTAAAAAAACAAAGTATTCAATTATACAACTGAGTACTTTAAGTAGAAAGTGTCGAGCATCGACTACGCTGTCGTACTGGCTTCGCTCCAGAAGATATTTGTTTCTTTCATCATCATTTCATACACTTACACTGTTCATTTGTATCGTCATCAGCGATATCTTCAGTTCTAATCATTGAATTTATCATTAAATTCGATATGATATTGAATACATTATTAGCCACACCTCTTAAAAACAGACATTTTGAACAAATGTTTTGTTTCATATATAAAACAAACTACCTACCGATTTGATTTTCTAGTTATAAGTGTCTCGAGGTCTTTTGGTATTCGTTGAACATGTAAAATTTGGCATACCAATGTTGTTAAATATTTTGATTCCAAGCCTAATCAGTGTTAACAGACTGGTTGAGAGAGTTATAACTATCAACTCGGGTTGATTGATATAACTGCAGTTGAGAGAGTTGTAACTATTTCAACTTTAGTTATAACTGTGCCACAATACAAACTAAAATGAGTTTTCGTAATTTTAGTTTGGGTTGGTGGTCATTACTAAAGCTGATGCAGTTATAACTGGTGTTAGAATAGTTATTACTCTATCCATTTGCAGTTGTAACTCTTCCATTCGCAGTGATATCAGTAGTTGATACCCTAGTCATCGATTCTTATATAAGAATCTTACCAGAAACGTCTAAGTCTCTCACCAGTGATCTATTACAAGATTCTTATCGAAATCTTATCAGTTTCTTATATAAGATTGTTTAAGATTTCCCATCGGCAGTCGTAAGTGTCTTATGAAAAACTTATAAGATTTTCATAAGAGGTTCGTAAGAAATTCATAAGAAGTACTAAAAATTCTTATGAAGTTTTCCAGCCAATAGAAGCAACTTAATCATAACAGAAATCACCAAAACCAACTCATAAGTTGCCTTCTAGTAATAAGAATAACATAAGAATTTTTGGTATTTATGAATTTCTTACGAACCTCTTATGAAAATCTGATAAGATTCTTATAAGATACTTACCACTGTCGATGGGAAATCCTACACAATCTTATATAAGAAACTGATAAGCATCTTATCAGTTTTATCAAAAATATTCTGTCTAGAGTAGTTATAACTAGGGTTTTAACTACATCAACTTTTAACTTTCAAAGAACAGTTTTCAACTCAGCAGTGTTACAGACAATGACAAATCAAACAAATACCTGAGAGAATACCTACCCATAAAATGAATATATTTTGTTGTTTCACTTTCTCTTACATTGGCAATATACGTGTTCAATTCAGAATTTTCATCGTGTGACATTTCTCGCATAGCCATGATAACAAGTGATGTAGGTGATGCTCCTAAATGTAAATAATTATATAATTATTGCAATGTTATCGTATATAATTACCTAATAATGTAATATATTGCCAGGATTCTATATCTAAATATTGTGCATCATCAATGAGAAATACCGTCTGTTGTGGACCGTAATTCATCACTTTAAAATCAATATTTGTTGTATTCTTTATTAGTGTAATAATCAATTGTTCTACAATTTGTTTTCCTGATTGTTGTAATTTTCTTACTTTAAAATTGTCAACATTTAATTTATCAAAATATTGTCTAATTAAGTATAAATATTGATAATAGTGTCCTAATAATGATTTTAGTAAGATTAATAGAGCATCGGGATCTTGTAATTCAGTTAATAATAATATTTTAAATAATTGTTTTAAAACGTAACCAGGTATTTGAACATTTTCAAAACTGGCATGATGCACTATCACACGAATTGTTGGATATTCAGACATAATCAATTCATGAACATGATCCAATAGACGAGAACGACCACAACCAGCTGGACCAGCAATAAATATACATCGTGTATCAAATAAACGATTTTCTTTCACACCATCCAATTGTTCTGATATAATAGCAACATCTTCATCACGATTAATCATCGGAAATATAAACAGATCAATGTGACCCATTGTAACTGCTAAATAACTAACATTTTTCAATTTGAAAAATGATTAAGATTTGTTAAACGAACCATCACTTTGTCCTTTATAGCGTCGAATTGATCCAATTTTATCTAAACCTTTTAATGGTTTTAATGGCAACTCATCAAAATATCGATCATCAATATGTGCTTTATGATAGGTTTCATCATCACACGAGACTGCTCCCGGATAATTTACCATTAATCGAGCAGCCATATTTACTTTACGTCCGATAACTGTGTACTCACATCGAATAGCATGGCCAACAACACCACAAAATGTTTGCCCAGTACATACGCCGACAGATACTTGAGTAACAAAGTCCAATCGTTCTAAATTATGCAAGAGAAAAAGGGTCATTTTCAGCTTGTAGATAAAAGAAATATCGACGGCTAACCGTCTCCTCTTTTCGCTCTTTTGTCAAAGAACTATGGCAATAAAGTTAGAAAATAATCTAAAATTACAACTAGATAATTAAATAGATCAAACATTTCTCTATAAAATGAAAAGTGTCTCGGCACTGAACGTTGATTCGTTATGAAAATACAGCTGTTGTATAAACAGCCCCCAAACTCGATTTTCGAGCCATCTGAAAAACGTGTCTATAAGAGTGAAGACGAGCACGC